CACAGAGGATTGGGAAGTGAAGGTTTACGAATGACAACAGACAGAATTGGACATATATATGTGTGGAAACTTTTAGAGAGCTTCTATGGGCTTGTTATTGTTATATATGGGCTAGGCAACATAATCCAGTAAATTTTAGATTTAGCAAGCGTAAAAATCATATTTGTATATTATAGCTATAGTTTTGTATAATTGCGTTCTATATCAAATTTTATGTTTGTTATGAGCATCATATTTGTAGAAATCGCAGGCAGTCATTCGTTTGTATAAAAGCGCAACGATTATATATGTATATCGGTTAGATAATTGTATATATGTAATTACTATGTATATGTATCAATGATTGTGTTTGTATATCTGCATAAAATTTGAATGTGTATATAATTGAATCGAGATAAAACATTTGTATATCAAATCTCTCTCGCTTTATACAAATACAAATTATACAATGTATACTTTGTAGTTGTATGAAGCGAGAAAGAGAGAAAGACAAAAGAGAACTGGTAGGGGAAGATCTGTATTTGTATAATTATAAGTAGGGGTGTTCACGGTTTGGATAAAAACCGATCCAAACCGGAAAACCAAACCAAACCGATAAAATAAAACCGATTTTATTTGGGTTTGGTTTGGTTTGGTTTTAGATTTTTGAAAAACCGATATTATTTGGTTTGGTTATGGTTTTATTTGAAAAAAATCGAAGAAATAACCGAACTGAACCGATGAATTATATACATATATTTTATTAATATACATACTTAATATATTATTTTTATAAACAATTTTAAAGATCGTATACATATTTTCATTAAAAATTCTTTATAATTTACTTATTGAAAGCAAAAATGCCCAAGATGAAACATTTATCTTATTGATTTCATGTATATGAGTGTAGTGATTGAAAGTTCAGTAATTTAAGTCATTCTAACTATTTTTCGTTTTGAATGGATTGTTGTCACTTTTTATCACATTTTAAATGAATTATTTCTTTTATTTTTGTGTATGGTTAATATCCGAATAACCGAACCAAACCAAACCGAAACCGATAATCACCAAACCGATAAATGTATATTATATTTTGTTTGGTTTGGTTTTGATAATTTTAAAACCGATTAAGTTGGTTTGGTTTTGGTTTTGACCAATAACGATCCAAACCAACCCGTGAACACCCCTAATTATAAGTGTATAGGACAAAAATATATATATTTGTATTTGTATTTGTATAAACAATTTTCTCTCGCATTATACAAACACAAACACAATTTATACATTTGTGTTTGTATAAAAGTGAGAGAGGCGAGGGAGAGTGGTGAGCGAGATCAGGGAGAGTGGCAAGCGAGATTTATGGGGAGAGAGGCGAATGACAAGTGTTTGCTACAGATTATAATTAAATGAAACTGTGGTTATAACATTTAATTGGAATTAATAGTTTGCTATTTGATACATTTTTTCCCCAGATAATATTGATGGATTGGGTTCATGATATTTTACTGGATATGTTGTCGTAGGTTCAAGAAATTTCATCATTTGAGAAATTAATAGAATAATCATTCGTGTAAAAGAATGTAATATGTACATCAAGGTTTTTGTGAGTTATTTGGAGTTGTGATGGTAAATCTATTTATCATAAACAATTGGTGATCAATCGAAATTCATGAATACTTTGTTTTACAGTACATACAATATATTGATACGTTAGATTTAAGAAATTTCTCAATAAGCGTCTGCAGATATAATAGGTATTAAAGTTCTGACGGTTCGTTAGGACTCAGTGGAAAATTTATTCATTAAAAACTGTGGGTGATGAGCAGACATTTATGAATAGTCTATTCCATAGTGCGACATCATATATTGATGGATGGGGTGTTTAAGAAATTTCATCATTTGAGAAATTAACATAAGAGGTGTTTGCGTTAAAAGATTCAATATATTGATGGATCGGATTCAAGAAATTTTATAATTGAGAAATTAACACAAACAACCGTCTGCATAAAAGGATACAATACGTATTCAAAATTTATGAATAGTTTCTTCCACAATATATATATACATATATGGGTAGGGTTTACAAAATTTCACAATTTTGAGAAATTAGCATAAATAGCCGCCTACATAAAATGATATCATACATATTAAAGTTCTAATAATTCGTTGAGAGTTATGGAAAATCTATCCATCAGAAACTATTGATAATGAACCGAAATTTATGCATAGCTAATTCCACAGTACAATAGGATTTGCACTAAAATTTCAGTTATTCATCAGAACTTGCGATAACAAATTCATATGCTAGACCTCAAAGTGATTCGTCAAGATTTTTTTTTTATCTAAATACTAATGATTTATTATGAGTTGTGGCAAGACAAGTCTTGTTATGATCTGTCTGATATCAAATTCTAAACTTTTAGGGCACGTTTGAAAGGCCACAATGGAATTGGAAATTGGTGTAATTACTTTCTTTGTCCTGTTTGATAGACTAAGTAATTACTTGGTAAGAGGGGAATTGGATGTAATTGAAGGAGAGTAATTACACTCTTCAATTCCCAAGGGAGGGTAAGGAATTGAGTGTAATTACACCATGTAATTACATGAATTTTTTAATATTATATTTTTTTAATATATTTTTGTTTGGAATACCAAGACATTTCTTCCTTTTTTGTGGCATTTTCATTTCTAAGAACGGCACATTAACAAACCATGTACTTCTTCTTTCCAGTAAGATTTCTTTCTTGATTCATTTTACTTACATATTTTGATGTCTAGGTAGATTGTGTATGAATTTTATCTTTGTATTTTTTGGGTTAGTTTTTGAGATTAAAATAAATATGAGAATTAACTTTTTTTCTTTAATTTTTTATAATAATAATAATAAATTAGAAAATCGATTCTAACAATCAGCTATACATAGTAATATTATTTATTCAAAATCTGATCTATTTTAAAATGTAATTGTGTAATTACATTCGTCCAACCAAACAGGACAAAGGGAACACTGTGGCAACCAAACAGGTCAATGTAATTACTAGACTATGTAATTACTAGGCTGATAATTACTACCCTAGTAATTACACCAATTCCAATTACCAAATGGCTATATGAAAACTATTTCGCATAATATTTTCAAATAAAATCAAACTTAACGATAACACCATAAATAATTGTCTATTTCTGTAAATCTCATAGGTTTGATATTGAATTCTATTTTTATCACAAAACCTTTTTAATTGGGATCAAACTTAACGATAATACCATAAAAAATTATCTATTTATGTAAATCTCATAGGTTTGATATTGAATTCTAACTTTCATCTCACACCTTTTTCAACTGGGATCAAACTTAACACCAGTACCATACATAATAGTTTTATTTAAATTATGTGTTAATTGGGGGGGGGGGGGATGTACTATCTTGAAACAAAGGGAAAAAATCAATTTAACTTGGAGTGTGTAAAATATAAAAATATACATATTCAAGACAATTTGTACTTCACTATCCATTAAAATGTTTTTATCAAAATAATAATAATTGACGAACATTAATTTTTATTTATACACCTCAGTTAAGATTTATACCATTTGAATATTTGTATTAGAGTCTGAATATGTTATTTTGACATGTTTTGATGACTCGATCAATTATGTAAAAAGCGTATAACATATTTGTTAATGACATGTTAAAGTGGCGAACTAAATGAAAATTGTGACATATGAATCCAAAATAATAATATAAAAAATGAATTATGAAAAAAAAATGAAAATTTATTTTCTAAACCCCAACCACAGGTACCTACCTAGCCCCTCCTTCCCCCTTCTTTAACAAACCCACATATTTTTTGACTTTTCTGAATTAAGTTTAAAATAAAATGTACTTGTGTTATCTTTTTATGATTAGTCAAATATGTTTTTTTTCCACCATTAGTCAAATATGTTAACCTTATCTACTTTGATTAATTCTCAATCCTAATTAGTTAAAAAATTCTCAACCAAGAGATTAATGGTCAAACAAGCAATCTTTAAACAGTGAATATTTTTTATGAATTAATTCTAATAAATTGTTTTTGAATTCAGTATATCCATTTCATAAAAGGAATTAACAAGGCAAATAAGTATTATTAGGTTAAAAATTATAGTAAATTAAGACCAAGGGCAAATTGAAAAATTGAAATATCTTAACAATCTAATCACACTAGTCGAATATAGATGAAAGTTGGTCATAGGACTCTCGTTCAACAAATCAAAGGTACACTAAAAATTATGTACTGATGAGTCTCAAAAGCCCTTGTTAACAATATCGTTTGATACTTTGATATTCTAACTCATTTTATTTTAGGGTTAAAGAGGTCATATGAATTAATTTACCTATTCAAATATCACATATATCTACCTAATATGTCAGCATTATAATTTATTTCTATTTAAAGTGTGAAGTAAATGAATTTCTAAATGTGAAAGAAATCACACCAAATTAGTTCGTAAATATTATTTTTTTACTTTTCAATGACACATGGCAATAAGATATACGTAAGTGATTTCTTTTCTTTCGTATAAATCCTTTAAATTTGTCAAAAATAAGCGTTTTTTTTTTTATCTCCTATCAAATGTTTAACAAAGTATGTCTGTTTAACGAAAACTTTGAAAAAAAGGACTTAGTGGAACTTATAGTGAAGGTATAATTTTTGAACTTTTGTCAAAAAATTGCTCTATTTCTAGAGTCTAATAATAATAATAAAAAATATGCAAATTCTATTATATTGCCCTTTTGTTTTGTTTGTGTTTTAGCAAAATGTTTTGTGTTGCAGTTTTTAGGACTTGATAAGACTTTTATGGTGTTTAAAAAAGAGCACCCCATGCACAAAGCATAACGAGTTCACGCAAGGTCCAGGTGTGTTATAGTCAGACTTACCCTAGCGCAAGCATTAATGACTGATACCACAGTTCAAACCCGTGACCGATATGTCACACGGAGACAGTTGTATTTTATAATTAGAAATGAGAAACATATCTTCACTCAATTCAACTCTTATAAGAAACAGTAATACTGTCTTATAAATGCAGTATTCTAGCTAGCTATATCATTATAGTTTGGAGTAACTTTTCATATATATATATATATATATATATAATTGCTTTGATGGATTCTGAAGGTATCCGACACCTCTCACTAAGGTGAATCCAGGATCTAGAGTCAGTGGATTCAGAATGAGTGAGATCCTATAATATGTATATGTTTTCAAATGTTTTTTGCAGGATGTACAAATAGTTCGATCCGCGAGCATTAGGTTCGGTTCAACCCACAGTACATGCTCTAGATCCGCCTCTTCCTCTCGGTGTTAGGAAATAGGCAACTCAGAGAAAAGAAAGCTCTCCTTCTCTTTGGCCGCTGCAATTGAAGCTCGTTCTTAGCGACGAATTCAGCCATGTACTCTACAACAACCTGATGGCAAGAAAAAAGAAGAAAACGAAACTAGTTAGAAAATCTAGAGATAATGGTCAAACAATTGTTTTTTACGAGTTTCACACCTCAACTATCAGATGTTCCCTTTTTCCCTTTTCCTACTTGAACTATCACCATATATGTATTAAAACACACTTCAACGGCTCAGCCGTCTGTTTTTTTTCCTTTTCCTATGTAATAGTTGAGGTGTGCTTTAATACATAGATATTGATAGTTCATGTACGAAAAGGGAAGAGTTGATAGTGTAGGGTGTGAAACTCGGGAAAAGGCGATAGTTCAAGTATGTTTTTAACTATCAACTCTAAAAATTACCATAAAGTTTAAAGATTGATTGACAGGAAACACAGTAAGCATAAAAATCACCTGAGCCCCTAGCTTTATAATTTGCCTTGGTGGTACTTCTAGTGGAGTCTCATCAGCTCGAAAAGTTTTCAACTTTGACAAGAGCCTGAAGGAGTCGGGCAACGTTCTTATTTGACTGTTGCTAATATCAAGCTCTTCAAGATTCTCAAGGTTCCCGATTGATCTTGGTAAAGTTTTTAAGTCTGCAAAGTTGTTTGCAAGATTAAGCTTTTCCAAGCTGACAGCAAAACAGAATGTTTCGGGTATGTTCTCAACTTCGTTGAAGCTAACATCAAGTTCCCTGAGGTGAGAAAGATTCCCCATTGTCGTTGGTAATCCTTTAACTCTGTTGATGTGCAGTGTAAGAATCTCCAAGTGTTCGAGCATTCCCATTGCCTCGGGGAGAGCTTTAAGCTGATTAAAATCCAATCTCAGTTCTACAAGGGAAGAACAAAATCCTACTGTGTAAGGAAGTTCCTCGAGCTGATTTGTTTCCACGTTTAGTCTCTTCAAGGAGGTTAAGTTCCCAACGAAATCAGGCAAATGAGCGAACCTATTCGAACCCAAATCAAGATCAATCAGATTTACTAAGTTCCTGAAAGAAGCTGGCAGCGATTTCAACCTGTTCGCGTGAAGGTCGAGATCAGTCAAATTGATTAGCTCACCAAATGAATCAGGAAGGTTTATAATTTGGTTGGAGTGAAGATCGAGCTTCGTTAAGGCATTAAGGCTACCAATTGTAGTTGGAAGAGCCATAATTTGGTTATCGGCAACGTTTAGCTCAGTGACATTCACCAATTTCCCAAGTGACAACGGAAGCCATTCAATCTTGTCCATTAACTTGTTGTGAAGATCGACAACTCTTGCTCGAGTTTTGGCAGCATTTTCAATTAGGGCAGCTACTTTCATTAAACTGTACTTCTCTTTGTGCTTGATCCCTAAAGGCAATTACACAACAATTAAGACATAGTATAGTTGAATGCCATATCAGTAACGAGCCAAGACTTTTACTAAGAGGATTTAAAATAGAAAAGAGTAACACACGAAGAAGGCTACAGGATTAAACATATAGTATATACAACAACAACAACTATGTCTCGGTCCCAAACAACATATATAGTATTTATACATAAAAAAGAAATTGACCTATTTGCACATTATAATTTTCCGATGAAGGGATATCAATAGCTTTGCCACTGCCACACATACTGAACGAATGCTGGAAACCTAGTAGATTAGTTGACGTACATAGCAAGCTAGCGCCATCACTAAAAAGGAAAAAGAATAATGCTAACTACGATTTAAGTTCCAAGAGAGACACCCGAAAGAAAAACTCTAAATGATGTTTTCCATCAATCTAAACATTGACGGCCAACAACAACTACGCCCCAATCCCAAACAAAGGGTTATCAATAGCTCCGCCACTGCCACACATACTGACCTATAACTGGAAACCTAGTAGATTAGTCAACATACGTAGCAAGCTAGCGCCATCACTAAAAAGGAAAAAGAATCTTGCAAACTAGAGCTCAAGTTCCAAGAAAGACCAAAAGGAGAAATTATAAATGATGTTTTTCCATCAATCTAAGCTAGCGTTTTGCCATAGATTTTGAAGTTAGAAACTTGAACGATTTTTGAAGTTGTGTTTGGATACATTTTTTATTCTAAGATTTCCAATAAAATAATGCGATAATCAAACTATATACTACAACAACACATAGTAACAGAAGGACAAGAAACCAGATAAGCAATCCTAGGACTACTAGTACCTACTAACCTCTAGCCTAATCCATGCTCTCCACAACCTCCACAACTCACAAGCAAGCAAAAAGTTGAAATCTTGGATGCACACACAAAAAGAATAAACGGAAGTGAAAGCATAACAAAGCATTCTGAACATTAGCTACAACAAAATAATAAAATAATCGAAGTACAAGGAACAACAAATAGTAACATAAGCAATACTACAACTATTAGTATGGACAGATAGAAAGACAACACACTACCTCCACAACTCACAAGCAAGCAAAAAGTTGAAATCTTGGACACAAAAAAAGCAAAAAGGAGAAGCAAATACCCAAACCTGAAGAAGAAACAGTAATCAATTCACAACTTGTAACCAAACCCTTCATCAAATTCTCATCTTTTTTTCCAATTTCACCAATTGGGTCCTCAAAAGAATTGATTTTTCCCATTTGGGTATCTCCAGAAATCAACTCTGTAGCTTCCTGAATCAACACATCAAAATCTTGATAAGTCTTATCAAGTTCAATTAACTGAACAGCCTCTTTCCTCTGTTCTTTGCTTTGAAACAAAACCATAGCTTTTCTCACTTGTTGTAACACAGAGAAAAGCTCAGCTGGAACATTTTCTTCTATCTCCACTACTTTCTTGGAAATTTCATCAAGTTCTATTTTTTCTTCTGTTTCTACTGATTTTATTACAGAAATTGAAGCTTCAATTTCTAAAATGGATGGTCTTGGTGGGAGTGATTTGTAAATTCTTGTGATTTCTTCTATGAATTTTGTACATGCAGGTGATGGGGTTTTTGTGATTGGAGTTGCCATGGGAGCAAAGAAGAAATGATGGAGAAATTAATTGTTTGGATTATGTATTGATTATGTTTGTAATTATTATCTGCCAGTTCAAATGGTTGAGCATCTCGAGTCTTAATTGATAAGTTAAATTAAGTCAATAAAGAAAGTATGTATAAAGTTTGACAATTTACATAAAAAAAATTAAATTAAATTGATATTATTTTAATATAAATACTTTATTATATATTAGATGCATATTGAAATAAATAATAATTTGACTGCTAAATAAAATTAAGAAGTTATTGATGTATTGAATTTTCTATATTTAAATTAAGAATTAAAGATTAAACATTACACACCAATTAAAATTTGATAAATCTTTATTTTATACAATGACTATCAAATTAAATGACAGAGTCAAAAGAATAATAATCATAAGTATATAACAAAATTAAAATGTCACATCTAAAATTAAAAGTAGGTAAATTAGAGTATAAAAAGGTTAAAATAAAATAATAGTATAAAGAATCTTTAGTTAATATTTTAGATAAATTAAATCCTTACTATTCAAATAAAAAAAAACTATAAATATTTTAAGTTTGACTCATATGAATTCTTGACTAATCATATTTGATTATTTATTATATTATTTTGTATGAATAATTTATGTAAAGTTCAAATCAAAATCTCATAGAGGTCATGGATGAGCTCGTGATTATTTTTAAAAAAAAATTGTTTTCTATAGGCTGCAGTCTCGTATTTAGAGTAAAGTTATCATCATATAAATTATTGATCACGAATTCAAGTTATAAAATCGATCACTAATATTTATATTATGATAGATTGCATATGTCACACCTCTTAAAAGTGCAATCCTTCTTTAAATATTAGAGTATATGAATATGGAAATAAAATATTTTATGCATCAAATATATTTTCTTTAATAGTAAACAACATTCTTATTTTGAAAGATGTTTTGGGACAGGCATTATTTGATATTATTAAATTAAATTATTAATTTTGTTAATATTTAATATTAATATTTCCACGTGTGAATAATATTGGTTAATAATCTTTCCTGTGTTCTTATCCACTTTCATTGTGGTCAAACTTGTAAAAATTGTTTATTAAAATATCCACATGAGAAGAATGTTGTATTTTGCATTTGAATTTTCCTTGCTAGCTTATTTATTAGTATTTATTCTTATGATTTATGACATTAAAGGTCGTTTGGTTGGGAGTAGGGGTGTCAAAAATGAGTCTAACTATAGGTGATTCGCTTATCCGCCTAGAATTTTAAGGTTTAGGCTCAAGATAATTTGTTGGGTTCAATCTCAACTCATTCAAGCATTAATTCATTTTAAGAGAATTTTCAATTGAGCTCAATTTAATCTCCAATTTCAACCCGTTTTAAGACTTTTTATTTGCATTGATATAATGTATGTTCCTATATTGAATGTATGAATTACTATCTACTCCTATTTTATATCTTTTAGGATTTATCTATCCATTTGTAACTTCTTTTTTAATTATTTTTTTTGAGTTGAAATTTAGATTGTGGTTATAAAACTTAAATAATATTATTAAAATTATTGAAATTAAGCGGGTCAAGACCCACCCATTTTTAAGCTCATTTGAGCCCAAAGTAAACTTGGGCAGGTCAGGACCCAACCCAATTTCTATTTCAACCCATCTTAATATCTTCAATTTCAACCAAACCCGCCCATTTGACACCCCTAATTAAGAGTATTAGGAGAAATATTACATATGTTATGTATGATATTATTTAGTACTATTATAACTAATCCATAGATCATATATGGCGTTATAACTTATAAGTAGTAGTTAAACACTTTTAAAAAATCTAAAATGAGAAAGTGTAAATAAGGGTATTAATTGAAAACTTAAATTATGAAAAGTAAAACACACTACACAACACATCCAACATATTTCCACAAATAAGGTTTGAGGAAGATACGAAAATGTTATCCTTTTATGAGATAAAGAAACAGTTTTCAACAGTCTCTCGATTCAAACAATAAAAATAAAAGTAAGATAAATTTATAAACTACAAGTTAAACTACCGTAAGAGAAGTTAAAATGATATTATAAAGATCATGATAAACTCAAATGTACAATTCAACACTAGTAACAACAACATATTCAATATTGTCAAGCAAGTGTGGTTCAAAAAGGTTAACGTGTAGCTTACCTCACCAGCTTGTGAAAGTAGATAATTTCGTTTTGGCTTTTGAGCGAGAACATAGATATGCGATGCACCATTCTTTCTATTTTTCAAAGCACATCAAAATTAAATATTTATATTTAAATTTTATGTCTAATCAAATAGGTAATGTTGGGGAACAAAAGAAATTTCGCCATAATGATATATAATATTATTTAACAATATAGTTGTCCCGAAGAAAAAATAATTCAGATTAAATACTTTTAGAAGATAGAAGTATCAAAACCAAAAAATGGATTTTTTCCTTCTAAGTCGATACTCATAAGTTATATAATATCTATTTTTGAAGCTAACTAGTTCACATTCACAAAAAATCCCACTTTTAAACTTTCTACTAAAAACGACTCAATATCTTGACATAAAAATAATTTCAATACTTTGACATGCGAATTGAAATCTCTAATTAAGAATAAAAAAAACGAACTTTAAAATAAGGGCCTAAGGGGATAGAGTACTTTTTGAATTTTTCCCTTAATAAACAAATTCAAAAAAGCACAAATAAAGATCTCACCATTTTCATTTCATTTCTTCAGTCCAAAACAGTTACCTTTTTCTCCCCAAAATCACATGAAAAACCCTAGAAATCTCATTGATTTTTTGAACATAAAACTCAATTTGATCTGATTTAGTCCATCAATTTTATTTTTTTTGGATTTTATAGGTATTTTATTGTAAAATTGGATCACCTGTTTGATTAGCAGCCATGCCAGTGGCGGCTTCAGCAATATACTTTTTGAATCTCCGTGGCGATGTTCTTATTAACCGTCTCTACAGGGACGATGTTGGGTATTTTCTCATTTTTTAATTTATACCCAATTTCTTATATTTTGCTCAATTTTTACTTTGATTTTGATTTTGGGGACTTGTCTTTTTTTAATTTTGATGAATGAGTTCTCATATGATGCTAGAAAGTTTTTGTTGTAATGTGTGATGAGTGACGGAGCTAGTATTTTTCACTATGGGTACTTAAAATAATATAAATGTTTTTCCTTGAACCTCGCAGTGTGCACTCTACCCTTTGCAGGCCTCACTTGTGGGTTTATTTGAGTATGTTGATGTTGTTTTTTTTGGATTGAAAGTATAAATAAGTAAACACGTGAAGAAGCTAAGGGAACATAATTATGTATACATAATTTTTTTTTTGACTTTGTATATACATTGTAATTTTGCGGCGGGTGGGGGTTGGGTGAACTCCTTGTGCCCCCTAGCTCCACCCATGTGTGTGGTGAGCTTAACGTTGGAACCTTTTTTTTATGTTATTCCATTAGATAAGGTGATACTGATACCGGTTTGTTAGGTTAAGGTTTAGTTGTTTAAGTTGATGAACATAACAGATTGTTTGTAGTACTGTATGAGACAAACTAAGTCTTGGTGTAAAGTTTGCTGCATAAAGTAAAAGTTTGATTTCCTTGCTGACGTTTACTTGGTTTTGATTTTGGTACTTAATTTAAGAGAAACAATTGTTGAGTTGAATGTTGATGTATTAATTGTAGTCTGCTGCCAGATTTTTTTTCCTAATGTGTGGTTTGTTAGTTCAAAGTTGGAAACTTTTTTAATCTTATGGCATTAAGATCAGGAGATACTGGTTAGTTAGGTTAAAGTTTAGCTGTTGAAATTGTTAAACATAACAGATTGATTATAGTGCTGTATAACACAAACAACACAAACCAAGTTTTGGTGTAAAATTTTTTACCTAACTAAATTAGAAGTTTGATTTCCTTGCTCACTTTTACTTGATTTTGATTTAGGGACTTACTTTAAGAGATAAAATGTTGATTTATCTTTTGAAGTTTGATGAATGAATTGTAGTCTGCTGCTAGGAAGTTTTTGTAATGTGTGGTATCGTAAGCTCAAAGTTGGAACCTTTCTATTTTATCTTATCACCATAGTTAAGCTAACCTTAGTTGTTGAAGTTGTTGAACAAAGCAGATCGTTTATCTTGCTGTATAAGAAAAAGTAAGTCTTGGTATAAAATTTTGCCTAGCTGATTGAAAGTTTGATTTTCTGTGTGGACATTTGCATTTTTAATGTGAACTTTGTCATACTAACTAAGTACCATGTTGGAGAATGAATATTCTTCTTTGTTTCTTGTTTCTTATGACCCACTCAAAACTTTGGAATTTCTAATCTTGCCTCTTCAGAAAGTGAAGAAAATGTGTTTAGCTCATCATGATTTATCTTCGGTCAAACACATGTCTAACAGGCGCCTCAGTCCCTTGTATATAAATTTGTGTCTAATACAAAAATGTTTACATCCGAGAACGATGTGGTTCTTAGCCTGCTAATTCAGAAATTTTGTTGCTTCTATCTGTCTTTGTCCTTGCTTTGAGTCTTTGGCATCCAATGCCATCACTATAAATACTTTAAAATAACTTCTACTTACTCTTCTTTTTAGTTCATGTTATGAGTGCTTGTTTTTGTGTGAAGCAAACTAAGTTCGTCTTTCAAATAAAATGCATGTGAATCAATCATTGTGTCACCTGTGAGAATAAAGAAGTCGGTTACTACGTCACTTTGCTATATTTTTTATCTAACTATGAACCTTTTTAAATTTTATCAGGGGGAATATGGTAGATGCCTTCCGGATGCATATAATGCAGTCAAAAGAACTTGGTACATGTCCCGTCCGGCAGATTGGAGGCTGTTCTTTCTTGTACATGAGAATTAGCAATGTCTATATTGTGATTGTTGTTAGTAGCAATGCAAATGTTGCATGTGCATTCAAGTTTGTTGTTGAGGTAAAACTCTATTGCTTATTAGAATCATTCTTGCACTCTGACTGATGAATTTGGTCTCAACCACTGTTTTTTTATTTTTTGTAACGAAAGCTTTCACACATTTCTCTCCCCCCCCCCCCCCGTGGAGTAAGTGGAGAAC